CCCCAACCTCTGGAACCAGTAGGTTTTTCCTCATGTTCCATCTTAGAACCTACACTGAAAATCCCAATGGGTTTTTTGTTGTTCACTATTTGATCTTTTTTTTTTTTTTGGTTTTGAGACAGGGTCTCACTATGTAGCTCTGGCTGTCCTGGAACTCACTCTGTAGACCAGGCTGGCCTCAGAGACCTGCCTGCCTCTGCTTCATGAGTGCTGGAACCAAAGGCGTGTGCCACCACGCCCAGCTTCCTGTTTGAAATATTTTGAGTTCCTTCCCATGAAAGAAAACCCAGGAACCAGAGGAGTAGACTGAAGAGAAGTGACTTTCAGAAGCTGTGGACTTGATGACTTTCTGGGGGTTTGTAGAGAAAGGTTACAAGTTGTACCTCTGGCATGATATCCCAGGGAACCAAGGCTCCCACTAACTGAAGAGGTTTCTGAAATGACATGGCATTAAAATAAATTTGGATTTGCTCATAGTGTTATGCATTTGTTCTTTTTTTTTTTTTTTTTTTTTTTTTTTTTTTTTTTGTTTTTTTTTTTTTGTCGTTGTGTGTGTGTGGGGGGGGATGGAACATTTTCTCTGTGTGGCCCTGGCTGTTGGAAAACTGCAGACCAGGCTGGCCTTTCTGCTTCTGCCCCTTGGGAGGACTTAATGTGTGCACCACCACTGTCCAGCTGAGCTTAACAAGCTTTTCCTGTTGCTCACAGAGGTTGGAAGACTGTCACTCAAGGAAGTGGTGATCAACTGAAGGACAGGTTTCCTCCGTAGCCCTGGCTGTACTGGAACTCTGTATAGACCAGGCTGACTTTTCAGATCCTGCCTCTGACGGCCTCCCACGTGCTCGGGTTAAAGGCGTGTGCCACCTAGCTGGTTTTGTGATTCCAAAATGACTACTTAATGTGGAACTTTGGTAAAGGATGCAAGCCTTGTTATGTTAAGACTGCAAAGGCAATGTGGCAAGTTTGCCGTAGTTACTAAATGCTGGGATTACGGCATATGTCAGCTACACCTCAGTTGTGCAGCTGGGTGTGTGTGTGTGTGTGTGTGTGTGTGCGCGTGCGCGCGCGCGTGCGCGCGCGCTCATGCTAGGCAAGCACTACCAACTGAACTACATCCCTAGTTGTTCAAAATGTCTGTTAGACAAGTTTTCAGTGCCGAGTTGTGATGGTCTTGAGTAATGTTTCTATATATGAACCGCTGCTGAGCTATGAATACTTGAGCAAAAGCTGAAGCATGACTACACACACATCCTCTGTTACGGAGTAGAGTAGGTTTGGTTCGGTTTTCCTGTGCTCTTTACATGAGTAATCCTTCCTCAGCCTCTCGAGCTGGTGTTGAGTGTGCCCCCACACCTGATGGGCTGTTGGTGGGCCTGCTTATTGAGAGAGACTAGAGGGACAGAATAGTGAGTCCTACTCAACTTTCCTGCAAACTTAAAACCACTGAAAGTAAACACTAGCCAGATTCCCTCAGAGTTCATATAGACTGGTAATACAGATTTGTAAGATGTTCTTTTTTCTTACTTGGAGACGTCTCTAGGTCAGCTGTCAAATTCCATCAGGGTTTTATTTGGATTGTTGAAACTTTGAGTCAAGATGGAGTTGTAGGTCAGTGAATAGTGCTGAGTTAATCTGGCAAATCCTATCTCAAATGTGAAGGGCGCTGGGCGGCATTAGTGCATACCTGTGGTCCCAGCACTCGGGAGGCAGAGCCAGGAGGGTCTCTGTGAGTTCGAGGTCAGCCTGGTCTACAGAGCAAAGGGCTAAACTGGGTTTAAACTAATGCCTACCAGTATTCCAGCATCCTGGAGGCAAAGGCAGGCGAGTCCTTGAGTTCCAGGACTGACAGGGCCTATCTGTTGAAGTTGGAAGGGTTAAAAATGGGAATGGCTCAGTTAATGGTTAAATCCCAGCAGTTTGTCTTCGGACTTTTTTGTTTTGTTTTTGAGGAAGGGTCTCTTAGGGGTTGGAGATTTAGCTCAGTAGTAGAGAGATTGCCTAGCAAGCACAAGGCCCTGGGTTCGGGCCTCGGCTGGGGAGAGGGAGAATAAAAGAGAGAGAAAGGGTCTCTTCATGGAACTCACTATGTAGATAGATCAGATGGCTTCAAACTCAGATCCACCACGGCTACAATGAGGAAATGTTGCCGGCCGTGGTGGCGCACGCCTTTAATCCCAGCACTCGGGAGGCAGAGCCAGGCGGATCTCTGAGTTCGAGGCCAGCCTGGTCTACAGCGCAAGATCCAGGAAAGGCGCAAAACTATAGAGAAACCCTGTCTGGGGGATGGGGAACAATGAGGAAATGTTAAGGAAACCACTATAATCGATATGCCAGATATGGTTTTACATGCTTTTTTTTCCCCTTCGAGACAGGGTTTCTCTGTGTAGTTTTGGTGCCTGCCCTGGATCTCACTCTGTAGACCAGGCTGGCCTCAAACTCACAGAGATCCGCCTGGCTCTGCCTCCCGAGTGCTGGGATTAAAGGTGTGCCACCACCACCGCCCAGCTAACACACATGGTCTTAAGTAGCACAGGCAAGCCTGGAACTCACTGGCTTCAAATTCATCTCCTTGCCAATTTCTCCTGGGTGATGAGATTAAAGGTGTGTGCCACCATATCCTGGTCGCTAAATATCATAGGAACTGCTTTTTAGTAATTCAGGTAGTTATCACTTGATAATAAGACTAAAAAGTTGTTTTTTTGTTTGTTTGTTTGTTTTGAGACAGGGTTTCTCTAGTCATGGATGTTCTGGAACTCAGTCTGTAGACCAAACTGGCCTCAAACTCAGAGATCTACCTGTCTTTGCCTCCTGAGTGCTGGGATCAAAGGTGTGCACCACCAACCACCGCCCAGCTGGGAAGACGTATCTTCCAGATCTAATCATGGGGGGAGGAAGCTTTTGCTCTTTGCCAGCTTGTCTGTGCCTGCTAGCAAGCCCATTTCTAGATGAGCGTTAGAGCCTACTTCTTCGAGACTCCAGCCTAAACTGAAGAGCATCTGACACATCCAGCCTTGTGGACTGAGCAACCACTGGATTCTTTGACTTTCTGTTCACAGCCAGCCAGAGTTCAGATTAGCCAGACTGTGGTCTGTAAATCATTCTAACAAATTCCCTTTCTATAGAGAGAGATATTGTATAAATTGTTACCCTTGAGGACCCTAATACATAACCCTAAAAGGGGAGTTAAAGGACTCCTAGCTTAATGTAAGAGTTGTAGGCCAGGGGTGGTGGCGCACACTTTTAATCCTAGCACTTGGGAGGCAGAGGGAGGCGGATCTCTGTGATTTCAAGGTCAGCCTGGATCACACAGTGAATTCCTGTCTCGAAAAACCAAGAGTTCTAAGCCCATGAGACCCTCTCAAACCTGAGTTCATTCCCAGCACCCATGTTGGACATCTCACACAGCTTATGGAGACAGCTTCCGGGGATCCAAATACCCTCCTCTAGCCTTAGCGGACACCTGCATGCCCCTGCATATACAAACATAGAATAACAAAAAAATTTCCTAGGTATAGTGGCTAAAAACCAAAGTACCAAAGCTTTGTAGTAGAAAAGCTTTCTCAACTTGCCATTTTACACCTTCCCATTTCTAATTTTTGTGTTCTGTTTTTCAAGACAGGGTTTTGTGTGTGTGTGTGTGTGTGTGTGTGTGTGTGTGTGTGTGTGTAGCCATGGCTGTCCTGGAATTCGCTCTGTAGGCCAGGCTGGCCTTGAACTAAGAGGTCTGCCTTCCTCTGCCCCCAGAGTGCTGGGATTAAAGGCCTGTACTACCTCTACTCGGCTGTTTCTAAAATCTTAAATCTTTAGAATTTCAGAGATCAACTATTCCCGCAGCAGTTTAACTGGGGAAGGGTTCTGTGTGTGTGGGTGGGGGGTTGTCAAACCAAAAATGAAATTAGGAATTACATATTTAATTATTTACTTTATTATTTATGTGTTTCTTTAGGCAGGTCTCTACTCAGACACCTGCCTGCCTCTGTATCTGCCTCCCACGGGTCCCAAGAGTTGGTATTAAAGGCGTGCACCATGTATTTATTTAGGCAGGCCCTCACTATGTAGACCAGGCTGGTCTCTCCCTGCCTCTGCATCTGCCTCCCACGGGTCCCAAGAGTTGGTATTAAAGGCAGGCACCAACGCGTCAGGCGAAAACCAGTAATTTTTTGTTTGTCTGTTTTTGTTTTTTTGAGACAGGGTTTCTCTGTGTAGTTTTGGTGCCTGTCCTGGATCTCGCTCTGTAGCCCAGGCTGGCCTTGAACTCACAGAGATCCACCTGGCTCTGCCTCCCTAGTGCTGGGATTAAAGGCGTGCGCCACAGTCACCACCGCCAGGCGAAAACCAGTCATTCCTGTTACTCGCCACACCTCCTCATAGTAAAATGGAGGCATTTACCAAGAACTGCAACTCCCAAGAAGCAACGGGGCAGAAGACGGAAGTTATTTCCCCGTCTTTCAGTCCCCTGGTGGAACAGGTGCCCGTGCTGGAACAACACCCGGGCCTTAAACTAAACCCCGGGGGAGGCGGGGCCTAACCACTCGCACTCCAAACATTTGGTTTCCTGCAGTAAGGCACCCGGAAGTCAGTGACTCCACCAGCCCCGCCCCTGGGGGGGGACAGAGGGGGCGTCACCGGAAGTGACGACACGAGCACGCCATTAAATAGCAGTAGGGCGGCCGCGCCGGTCTCTCGGCCTTAGCGCCATCTTCCCGGGTGAGTCTCCCTGCCCGGTGCCCGCTCCCCGGGTGCCATCCGCGCGCATCCGACCCCTGCGCCGACCACCGCCGCAGCACACTGACTGTCGCTTGTCTCCCTCCG